GCGCTTTCGTCGAGCGCGCTTTAGTCTACCGCGGTTTTGTGGTGGAACCCTCTGCACATGCGCTCACATTTGCAAACCAATAGGGAAGGATTTTGCCCCTGATTAATAGCCTTGTTATGGCTAGGATTTCAGCTGTTTAAGCAGCAAATGCCAGGGAGGTACATGTGGCTTCTCCAGGAGGAGGAGGTCTCACTGTGAATTCTCCACTGTAGCAGCTTCAGATATTATCGCGTTTTCCAAATGCCTCCCTTATTGCCACATTCCCATAGACTTCATCTTCCTCACCTCATGCTTCTGCAGGGTTGGGCTGGGAAGGAGGATGTTGCACTGGGAACATGTCAGCAGCTGGTCATACATGTCATTGTGAGCCTGAGGCCCAGTGGAGGTCAGGATGGAGGCAAAGGCCTGGCAGCCAGATGCCTTTTTGCTTCTTGGAGACCTCAGAGATATTTTTTCGATAGAAGGCAGCTCTCTGTCCCTCCTCTTGGGGCGCACATCTTTGTCGGCCTTCATCTTCCAAGTAGGGGAAGGAGGAGCTGGAGCTGGAAGGCTCGGTGGAGATGGAGGAGACCGTGATCTTGCGGCAGAATGGGTGGCGAGAGCCCCCAGGAGCATGGGAGATGAAGTGCATTCATTCTGTGGGTGAGATAAAGGAAAGGTTTCCAAGACGTCTTGGTTAATGTAGGTTGAGTAGCTGTCATAAAAGTGAGCAGGATAACCAGGAGTGGGCTTCAAAAACTGCAGCAATGGGTTCGCTGCCCCATTGCTGGGTGGGCGTGGTCATGGTAGGCATAGCCTAGTTGGCCTCCTGCACCACGGGGAGGGGGGTTTCACCCTCCCCAGTATCCGGAGGCTTTCCTTGAGCCTACGGAAGGGTGAAAATTGCTTCCCCCGGCTTCCAGAGACCCTCCGGAAGCCAGAAACAGGTCCATTACCAGACTTCTGGAAACTCCGGTAGGCCCATTTCCCCCCCCCTCTCCCCGAGCCTCCACGCGGGCCCTGCTGGCATGATGAATAGGCCGGGTGGAGACTCCTGGGATGGGCAGGGTAGGAGGGATGGGCGTGGCCAGCCAGGAGTGGCATTTGGGGGTTCGCCGAACTGGGCAGATTCCTAGCTAGAGGATTGTCTGAACCCGCGCGAACCCTTAGCAACCCACCCCTGAATAACTCAGAAATTAATTGCCACAAGATACAGAGACAATATTTTGTTTTCTGGTAAAACATCTTTCTCCTTTTCACCTAATTGGGGGAGAAGGATTTCCCCTTCTTCATGTCCAACCCCAGAATTGGCCCTGACCCACAACAAAGGCCAAAGCTCAGTGGTCTGCATCCAGGCAGTCCTGGGTTCAAACTTCAATATTCCAATTGTAGGGATAAAAGGTGAAGGGAAGCTTCCCCCCTCCCCCTTCTGCCCTAAACTTTTTTCTCTAGTTTTTAAAGTTCTTTTATGGTCAGCTTGACTAAAGGTTTGTATTTAAGTTTATTTAAATTGTGGTCTCTTTTGTTTTTTCTGATTTTAATTTTTAATCATTTGAAATCTCCCTACAAACCTTTAGTATATGAGTCAATTGGAAACATCAATCAGATAAAATCAGAAAAGGACAAACTAGACCTACATAGATCTAAGCGCTTTTGAAAACACATGTAACTTTGTTTGTTTGTTTGTTTATTTGTTTGAACTTCTTAGCCACCCATTTCCCTCGGAGATCTTAGTTCTTAGATTCATAGTTCTTGAATTCATTTACTGGGCACTTATATTATGAACCATAAATTAAATTTACTGAAGATGCTGGGCTATAAAAACATGGAACAATGTTAAAACCAATAGTGTTTTTCATATCCTGCAAATGCAGCTGCTTCAGCTTTAACTGCTACAGTTAACATGAAAATATAGCTAGTATTTTCATAAAATTGCCTGTTCTTCTTTGGCAGTAAAATTACCACTACTGAATTGGATACAAAGAGATCATCTGTTCAAAAGTATGACTGGCAGCTCAAGAGATAGATTATCATCCACAACACGTTCCACTCTAACCATGACACAAAAGAACACAACAAGGCTTGGACTAACTATGCTGGTCTCTTGTGAGTCCACCGATCAATAACAAAATCTCCAGATTTTTGATTACCAGTCACTTCCACTGCTACAAGGCGGCCAATTTTCTTACCAGATGGTGTAGATATTGATCTGCTGGAAACCAATTGTTACACTGCAGGCATAACTTTGTTTTGGAACCTAAAGGGGAGATGTAGAAGACAATAATCAGTCCCAATATTCTGATCAAAGAGCTGTAAAAAGTTTTCAGACTGGTCGGTGCCCCTTCCAACAGCTTCTGATTGGCCAAAATCACCTAGAATTCTAGAGAAAGATTTAGCAAGGGAAGAGAATGAATGAATGGTGGGTTGCTCTTACTGTCGCTACTGGTACACTGATCGGTCTGCCCATGCACGCGTCTGATGTGCGCTGTGCACACATGCGCAATCCACCGCCCCTGCGACACCCAGCTGCTTGACGGGGCACGCACAGGCTCTGCACGCTGTGCCCACATGTGCAATGTACCTTTTGGCATAAATACAGCCATAGAGTGCGTGCGGGTGGATGGGCCAAACGAGCCACTGTACCGGTAAGCTCTCAGTTGCTCCAGGCTACTACCGGTACCAGCCATACCGGTCAGGACCCACCACTGATCCATCCATCCATCCATTTTGTCCCTCTCTTAAATTTCCTAGGATAAATTGGGAAATACTGAGGCTTAGAAATGGGTGTTACTACCCCAGTTTTAGCAAAATCAACATTACGTTCACAAAGCAAGTTAAATCTCTGATCAACTATTATTTTTACCTAGACACAGCATAAATGCTGAGCCTTAACAAGGCATAATATTGCATTCTTGCAACATTTGAGCAACTGAAACAATCCTATCAATACCTTAACATCACACAACAGAAAGGCAATGATTAATAGGGCAGCTGCACTATAGCCAGTCAAATCAGTTAACACAACTTGATTCCTAGAATTTTTTAAAAATAACTCTAGGTAGAGGAGGGCAAAATTTAAATATGGTGCTAAGAGGTTAGTTAATACTGTGGTTGGCAATTACTAGTAGGAAAACAAGCTTAGGCCTTTCAGTCCTAAGCAAGGAACAAGATGTGCTTTGATGGAGTCTGAGCATGCAAAGTGATGCCAATGTGCAAACCATGCTCTGCAACAGTGTCACAACACAGGAATTGAAATGAAGGAGTTGTCCAGGGATGTTACTAATGTGTAGAGATTGCTAGACTTCACCCTGCTTTGCTACAGTCAACCCCTTGGATATTCTGAGCTCCAAATTATTCAACCTCATTGCAGCTTTCCCTAAATACTTATAATTTCCTTAATCCTCATTCTAGTTTCCAGGGAGGAATGTGGCATTCCTGGGGATCTTAAGTTTTTATTCTGCCCCTTTCCAATTGCTAAATGTCTAATCTAAGAACAGAGAACAAGCTTATTTATTTGATTGAGTGATTACCAGCATTTATTTACTAGTGGAGAAAGTTCTTGTCAGCCTCTGCTTTGCTGCTGCTTCGGCTGCCATTGAAACGGGGAGGGGGGCATGGTATTTGGGAGGGGA